TGAAATAAGATCTATTGTTACTTCATTCTTGAAACTCAGAAAGCTGCTGATGTGCTTGACTAACACTTAGTCACTGGAAATATATAATTATTAAAGAACAAAAATAACTCTATCAGAATTGAAAAGGAGACCTAGTACTAGTGAAATGGGAGATTCCAGACCGTGAGAAAAATCTAGACTTGCATTACAGAAAGGGCTGGGCAGAAGGGGAAATATTATGGTTCAGGGAGTGTGAGACACAATACTGATGTGCAACATCACAGTATAAATAAAACAATTCATAGACCAACGGGATTAGGTGACCAGGCTCGCTGATTTGGTTGATGCATGTCATCGCATTCCAGACTCGGTTATTTACAGACCGCCATCATATAGCTGGAATATTTCTGAGTGCGGCGTTAAACAACGAACAAACAAACAAACTAACAAACTTAGGCGGTATTTAAATATCACCAAAATATGCAGCCTGACTGGCCACAACAAACGGTTAGTATTAACAGTCTGCACTTGGTATTATAATATGAAATATTTCCATAAATACAATTTTGAAACACCTATTTATCATATGGCATGACTGAAAAACATGTCTCAAAACAAAAATCCATCATGTTAGGGGGCACGGAATGCAGATGTGCTAAATTCTGACTATGGGTATTGTTGACTTTATTTCAAACTTCCTTGAATGGTATATCAAGCAGTTCATGGAACTACTCCTACATATCTTAAAGATTACACAAGGCAGTGTTTCCCTGCAGGAATGCTTTGGAAAAATCAACAATGCAGGCTGTGGGTTCTGAAATCAAAGTTAAAGACCTTTGGCCCCAGATCGTAAAGCGTTGCTGTTGCTTCTTTGTGGAACCCACTCACTCTCACACTGAACCCATGACCAACACTTCACACCCCGGAGAGAGAGAGAGAGAGAGAGAGAGAGAGAGAGAGAGAGAGAGAGAGAGAGAGAGATATTCTTTATTTCCTCCAGAAGTTAATCCGAAGATTATACATAACTAATCAAACGTATTCACATAAACTCATATTACCTGTACATATATACAATTCAAGACAGTAGCACCAGTGTTATGCCATTCACACAGTACTAAAGGTTAGATCAGATGACATAATCAAGGTAAGGCTTTAGTGTAAGTACATAAGCAGAAAATATCAGTATAACAGATTTCCATGTAACTATATCAATACATTGTGAGAAGTGAGTATCAGCACCAAAGAAAAAGGACAACATATCTTCTTCATCTTGTAATTCCAACTGGACATAGATTTCAACATCAAGCAGATCAATAAAAGTTGAAAACACATCATTTCTTACCTGCAGTAGAGTTTCACAATGTAATATGATGTGATTATCATAACCAAAGGCATGCTTGTTACACATTAAACAGTCCCTGGAAGTTTTGTTTCGTGATGAAACTCTAACACAAAGTGTTAAACTTGACCTCTGTTCTGGGTACATAGATGCTAGTTGCCATAATATGTGGTGAGTAAGCTTTATATGTATTAGCATGAAGCATGAAAGACCTGTATCGACAGAAACGTTTCTGCGCCACATAATTTCTTCATATTCATGAATTGTTTTATTGACCAGTTGCTTCCAGTTTCTCTTTGTAGGAAATACACCACAGCTTATATATGTACAAAGGTTGTTTCGTAGGTTATACTTGTTAAGAACTGATAATAAATCTCCACATACAGATTTAGGATTAGTAGGATTTTCAATGTATGCACAAAAAAGATGTTTAACAAAACTGTTACAGGTTAAGTTACATAAGCGGCCAAGCAGCTGAAGTTTAAAGTTATCAATATAGCCGATCATTGTCCAGAGCCCAAGATTAGCAATAGTGGATTCTGATGGAGATCTTTTATCAAGGCCTTGTACAGTTTGCGCGAAATAGCGTTGAGTATTTTCAATGACATTAATGTGTTGACCCTTAATATAAAAGAGCAGTTCGCAGCAGTAAAAACTTGTTTTTAATATCATTCTTAACCATATTTTTACACTGGTAGCTGGATGTAGCTCAGAATTGTTGAGTCCCACAGATTTTAACGAATTAATACTTTGTCTTGCTTTTTGGCAACATTTTTCAATACTAGATTTACATGACAGGTTATGCGTTAGTAGTATGCCACCATACATGACAGAGTCAGAGGTTGTTATATTTATATCACCAAGTTTGCAGTTAATAACCCCTTTTGTTTTGTCTTAGAGAAGACAACAACAATACTTTTTGAAGGGTTATACGTTAGTTGCCACTTTGAGGCATATGAATGTACTGTATCAAGTACTTTTTGAAGCCCTCGTGACGAGGTGCTCACAAGAGTTGTGTCGTCTGCAAGCAAAACAGTTGGAATATCTAGACCAAATACACAAATACCACTATTTGCTTGTCTAAGGGCTGTTATAAGGTCATTAATGAAGACTAAGAAGAACCAAGCAGAGAGATTCTTCCTTGTCCGACACCTTGCCTTACATGGTATATATCTGACTGTTCACCCTGATATGTAACAAAAGCATGGCTATTTGTATAGCTATGGTGTAATAACGTCCATGTATTTCCTCTGATACCTTTTTGGTGTAATTTATAAAAAAAAAGTCCGTCCTGCGACTCTATCCCTCATAGTTGAGTTTTGTTATATCTGTAGTTTGTGACCTTTGCTTTCTTACAGTTTTGTAAAAGGAATGTATATCAAGTTCAGATGATTTTTCTATTTCTGTAAGGACGTCCTTCCTTTTACCTTTTTTGATTTGCGATATAGGCGTCTAAAACACCGTTTTTCATTTTTGTAAGATATACGTTTATTTGAATCTTTATTTCTCGATCTACCATTTTGAACCCAAGCTCTACGAGCCACCCTCATACGATAGTGTGCGTTATCAAGACCATCTTGTCTCCAAAATGGTTTAAGAAAGGGCTTAAACACACTTTTGGGGATACATTTGTTACCTGCATGTATAAGAATTTAATTTATGATGTCCCATTGGTTTTCTAAATTTTCTGGATCTAAGGAGTGGGGGTCTGGCTTGCCATCATATGCACATTTAATATATCTATCAACTTCTGCTTGAAACATAGAAGTATTAGTCTTATTTGCTTTTCCCCACTTAGGGATAACTTGCTTTATATTTTGATCGTGGCTAGTTAGCCCTTCTTGTGATATAGAAATATGACAAGGAAAGTGATCAGATATTTCATAAGGACAGCTTGCTATAATGTAACAGTCTGTTATGAAGTTCCATAGCCATGACGGTACAAGAATATAGTCTATTAGGCTTCGTGACTCAGGAATACTCCAGCTATATGACGGCGGTCTGTACATAATCTGGACCAGACAATCAAGTGATTGACATCATGAGCATCAATCCATTAATCAAATGGAATATAATGACTTGTTGATTCAAAGGCGGCTAAATGACGTCCAACCAAGGCCGACAACTGCAGCTGAACTGCGTCAGACTTTCCTCAGAGTGTGGGCTCAAGTGCTTATGGCCTTCATCAACCGCTTCATCCATTCCATGTATCGACATTGCATGGCAGTCATCCAAGCAAATGGCGGACACACGAGATGCTGACTTGTGATGCCATTTTCTCAGAGGCTAGTGTTCTGTTTCATTTTAAGAACATCTGACACTTTAATTTCAACCTTGATGATCAGTTTTGCCAAGTTTCATCATTTTAATATGTCTCAAAGTATGTTTACAGTGTTTGGACAAATACGGTTTCTCATATCCATGGTGACGTTTCTTTTGCGGTTCAGTATATATATGAGTGTGTGCTACTAAAACAATTCGTCAGTCTAGCGGTACTGGAACATTACAAACTATTCTGCATGAGTCCACGGCCTACCGTACACCATACTAGATTTGGTATAAAGTAACTTCCTGACGACTGCTTACATTAAACACCACCACATCCCTGATGACTAATCACTGTCCAAAAACAATGCAATGAGCGTCTTCCGAATCTCAACAGAAACAATGTAACACAATTACAATCATTGTTCAACAACAAAATACACTGCCACATAACACTAAACAATGTGAAGATGGAAAATCAGTGTGATTGGTAAACATCCCTATATGTTGGGCATTAGCAGCAAAGACCAGTATGATCAACAGGTGTAGTCCATATAAACTGGTACACCAACCTACCATCGGCACTGGTCGGATAAGCAACGTCAAAGCAAGGTAATTAGGCGAATAAGTTTAACTTTAGCTTCAGGTATATGGATTATCAGATATCGTTCAAGAACAGTCAAATAGCCAAGCCTTTCCAACGAATTGCCCATCTGAACTAGACCTAAGAGACAAGTAAAACCCGTGAGGATCCGGTGAAGAATAGGTCTTCAGCCATACATGCTTGCCATAAAAGGTGACTAATGTTGTCATGAGAGGCGACTGATTGGATCGGGTGTTCAAGTTCGTCGGATTGGCTGATGCATGTCATCGAATCCCAATTCCAATTGATTGGCAAAACGTTCTCCACAAGGCTGTATGATAAAAGGGATGCCTTCATCTTTCCAAAAGCCAACTTCTTCTTTATGTCGAGTAATATTCAAACAGCTCCAGCCTTTGGTGTCTGCATTTCACAACTTCTGAGGTAATATAGAGCATGATATAAAACAAACTTATGCTCACCTTTTCTCAAGTGTTGTTTGGTCAAGATTGCAACATTCAAGGCATCAACAACGCTTTAAAAGTGCTTTATGGGAGACATGCAGAGGACAATTCCAAATTTGACAAACATGATGCCCTATGCAATGCCCTGTTTACAATTGTACAATACACGGTTGCGTGTTATTATCACTATTTGATAGCAATTAACAAATACATGCTTATGATAAAGTCATATAATTTGCGTTTTAGTAGAGCATTCTTATGCTTATGGACATTTTTTATTGACTCTTAGGGTGTTTATTATAACGAATATTATTTAGAAAGATGGACTCGTATAACAGTGCATCAATCTGCATATATTTGGTATGATGTTTCTTCAATATTGCAGTAAAAGTTCATTCACTGCACAGCTACCACTTTCACCCTTATTGGCCAGAATTACCTTTTCTTTGTCGGCAGTAGCTATAGTGACATGTGAAAGGATATATTTCACAATATTTATATTTCTGGATTCACAGGCAAAGTGTAGGATGGTGTCGCCATTTGTATCAACGGACGACAGATTTGCTCCTTTCGTCACAAGGAAGTGAAACACGTTTCTCTTCCCCGTCGAGGCCGCCTTCATTACTGCCGTCCGTCCATATTTTTCTCTGCTGTTAATGTCTACAATATTCTGTGCGAGAATATACTCGACTATATCCAAATTTCCACCCTTCGAGGCAAAATGAAGAATGTTGTTGTCATGGTTATCTACTAATGTCAGATTCGCTCCCTTCTGCACAAGTAAATCAAATGCTTCTTTATTTTCCCTTTCTGCTGCATTCATTAGTGGAGTCTTCCCAAGCCATTCTCTTGAATTGATGTCATCCACAATATTCTGTGTGAGAATATACTTCACCATCTCCACGTTTAATCCATCACAAGCCAGATGAAGAATGTTCTCCTGAAGTGCAGTTACGCTTGTTAGATCAGCACCTTTACTTACCAGCAAGTCAAACACCTCTCCAAGTCCATTGAGTGCCGCCAGCATCACAGGTGTCTTGCCGCGATTGTTTACACTGTTGATGTCCACAGTTGTGTTTGTGATCAAATACTTCGCTATTTCAGTTTGTTTGTTAGTGCAGGCCACATGAAGGACGTTGAAATTATCCTCATCCTGATGTGTCAGATCCGCGCCTCCTCTCACAAGTAAATAAAATACGTCTCTTTGTCCCTTATATGTTGCTATCATTGCTGATGTCATTTCTTCTTCTTCTATGCTGTTGATGTCTACAATGTTTTGTTTGAGGACATACTTCACTATATCCACATTTCCGCCATAACACGCCAAATGAAGGATGTTTTCATCTTCTTCACTCACATGAGTTATATCTGCTCCTTTACTGATAAGTAAGTCAAACACTTCTTTATGTCCCCAACGTGCTGCCATCATTGCTGGTGTCAATTCTCTTTCGTTTTTGCTGTTGATGTCTACAATATTTTGTTTGAGGACATACTTTACTATATCCACATTTCCTCCTTTACACGCCATAAGAAGGATATTGTTGTTTTTTTCCTTCATAGTCAGATTAGCTCCTTTCTTTACAAGTAAATCGAATATGACTCTGCGACCCATCTTTGCTGCTATCACTGCTGGTGTATGGCCATCCATGCCGTTGCTGCTCATTGCATCAGTGTTCTGTTCGAGAGCATATTTCACTATCTCAATATTTCCCCCTTTACATGCCATGTGAAGGATTGTCTCATGATCAGCATGCATTATTGGCAGATCAGCGCCTTTTTGCACTAAGAAATTAAACACGTCTAGTTTCCCGTTAAGTACTGCAAGCATGACAGGTGTCAGCCCGCAGTGTTTCCTGTTTATGTCCACACTGTTCTGTTTCAATACATACTCTACTATCTCAGTATTTCCTCCCCGAATGGCCTGATCCACAAAAGTAGACCCCTTGTCATCAAATAGTGTTAGATCAGCACCTTTACTCAGCAGCAAGTTAAATACGTCTCCGTGTCCCCTTAAAACTGCTAACATGGCTGCCGTCGACCCGTCCCGTCTTCTACTGTTGATGTCTGTCACGTTCTGTTCGAGGACATACTTCACTATTGGAATATTTCTCCCTTCACATGCCACATGAAGGATGCTCATCTCAGCTCTACTCATGATTGACATACTGGCTCCTTGCCCCACGAGAAAGTCAAACACTTGTTTATGAGCATTCTGTGCTGCAAGCATCAGTGGTGTCATGCCGTTCTGTCCTCTTGTGTTGATGTCTGCATGACCCTCAGATAATAAGTATTTGACTCGGCACGTGTCTCCATTCTTGCAGGCATCGAGGAGATGAGTGTTTAACTGACTTTGCTTTTGTGTGTGATTCTGTGTTACTGAAAGAAGACATCAATATTTATCATGCAAAACTGGCTTCCACAGTAGATATCGCTTGGGTGACATCTACATTGAAATTGGATTAGAATGCTTTGTAGATCATTGTGACGTCATTGTTACCATGAAGGCACAATCAAATGACATCACTAATGAAGCTGTAAGCAGTACCTTTAACACTTAAGCCACTGCTTATTACCGTCTACAAACTAAAGAAGTTGGAAGAATGATGTTGGATGATAAATTAGCTTCAGAGTTATTCCTCTTTTATCACCTCGTGATTGATACATTTCATATCAAAAGACATTCGGGTGATATTCTCTATTTGTCATTCGAAACATACATTGAAAATTCTGTATTAATCTTCATCTTATTTTGTTTAGTATGTGTAAAGTTACACACATAAATCAATGTGTGTTCTGTTCAGTGCTAGTTTTTAATTACAGTGGAATTTCAGTAGCATATAATGCAACCCATTTCGTAATGTTGGGATTGATATTATGAGCAAGGACAGACGCAATCAGTGAAATATCAGCTACGTCACGGGATTGATGTCCCAGTCTATGCAGTCGTTTTACCACTGATGACCAATCATTACCAAGTGACCCGTGAAGATCCGGGGTAGAGTAGGTCTTCAGCAACCCATGCTTGCCGTAAAGGCGACTATGATTGTCGTAAAAGGCAACTAACAGGATCGGGTGGTCAGGCTCGGTGACTTGGTTGATGCATGTCATCGGTCCTGGTTGCGTGGATCGATACTCATGTTGTCAATCACTGGATTGTCTGGTCTAGGCTCGATTGTTTACAGACCGCCTTCAATAGCTGGAATATTGCTGAGTGCGGCATTAAACAACAAACCAAACCAAACCAAATCATTACCAAGGACCCGGTTACACTATCAGTTTGAGATGTTTAGGCGTATCAAAGAGAGTATCAAATGAAATTGCACAAACTTATGATAGCGTAGAAAAATGCATTCAGAGAGTTTATTTTATGATTTCATTTGTACAACAGTTTCTGTGAGCATGACTGACAGTAATTTCTTATGATTAAGAAAATGGTTTTGTTCATTATATTTATGAACAAAATCACATGTCAACTTCACTCTACTCCACTAAAGGATAGCAGAGGGAGGCCTAAGTAATAAGTAGAAAATTATTTGACACTTATTTCGTAGGTCATGATGTCAGAAGGATGTGGCAAATGTACTGGCACAGAAATGAATGCACGACCTATAATAAATATACAGGTGCTGTAGAACATAGACTATATGCACAAATACATTCTACATTACTGTTGTTATCCAATGTTGATGTGTCATGGACTAGTCACATTAAGGTTACTATGTAATGGGGATGTATGTCAGTGACATTTCTGTTTCTAAGCTCTAAACGTCAGCCTAGTTCTGTAATAATCATATACAGAGATTAAACAGCAGGGGCGTAAGCTAGGCCCAGATGAATGCCTTTACCTTCGTGATCCTCGGGTTGTGTTACCCATGCCCCAAATGGTGGAACATCCTGTTCACATATCACTTCACTCGATGCTGAAACCAAATTTCAAATGGGATCAGGATGCGTTACTTTTCGTTTATTATATCAAAATATCACTTTAACATCACCGCAAAATAGAACTTAGAATCAAGAACTAGAAACCCAATGGATACTTTGATTTATGATGTTGGTCAAATAACCGAGCTGTTGGTTGCAAGTAATACTCATTTTGTGCGTGTTCCTAATCAGGATCCTGTAGCCTATGTTGACATACTCTTACTTGGCTCATATTTGGTTTCCATTAGTCAAAATAGTAACACTTCAAGCTGGTTTATTAAATTGTGTACATTAGATGTCCCGTTCCTTGTACATCTGAAATCTCCAAATGACAATTATTCTACTGTTATTTTTTGTATTACTCAAACACAAACATTATTTTGGAAATTAGTTTATGAAACATCTCATGCAAAGTCCTTGTTCTCGATACTCATAATAATCCTGTGTAAAGCAGCGAGGGTAGAATGTACACTGGAAAGTCTGGTACCGAAATAACCATACAAGATCAATGCATATTTAATAATTTATATTAAACACACAGGATTAAGTTTCCAATCATTAAACGGGAAAACAATTGGTCATATGTGGTAGCAGCAGTACATAATAGGCATGTTTGCTGGTGTATTGGTGCTTGTAATATATATATATATATATATATATATATATATATATATATATATATATATATATTGTGTATGTATTCTAATATAATGTATATATAATGTATGTATTCATAATATATATGTGTGTATATATATACAAAAATGAGGTAAATGTTCACTCGGTGTACATGTAATATATAATAAAATAATAAAGTCCACGTTAGTCCATCATACATATATATATTGTAATAATTAAATAAGTGAAGCAAGATTGAACACGCTTTTAATTGGCTAGCACTTACAGCTCGTACGAGATATGAGTCTCATCAGGCCATAACTGAATAACGGACATGAAGTTGTAACATATGGTTACGTGACGTCATAACATTTAGGAAAAGTATGACGTCACGATACCAATGACAACTTAACCCTTTACATTTAACTTAGGAGCGTATTTATGAATGAAATGTTGCTATTTTGGAAATAAGGTAGGTTCATGATCATAATTTAGCTTATATAGCGGGAAAACTAAAACGTTGCCGCTTCCACATGTATGTAAATATTCACTGAGTGGACTCGTGCGGTTGTGTGGCTGCTTTATTTGTGAACGTTGAAGATTCATTCTTCATTTTAATTTAAGTTATGTCTTTCCGATATACTTTACTTCGATCCACGTCAAACAATCAAGTAAATAACATTTCTAGTATCACAAGTCATATTTAGTTTTACAGTAGATATAGTGTCCTTTGTAATTTGGACTGAACAGCCTCCAATCATATTGCTGCAAGTTAGGCAACGTTTGTCACCGCACTTAGAAACCTGTGGAGTGATGACAACAGGATCAAATTAAGAACTTGTCAAAATCTTTCAAAGATATTTTGGTTGTCTTTAACTGTTGATAATTTTGTATTTGCTCAATATCTTCTCCATTTTATTACTTTGATTCAAAATAGTCATGTGTCGTTGAACCATGGACAATGTTTATTCATGATTAGGGTTGAGGGTAGATACTAGAAATATTATTCCCCATATTGTTTTCTTCAGACTTTTCTCTCAGTTTTAGTTGCTCAATACTAAGCGCCTTCTGTATGCTATCTTCAATTAGCTTTGCGGGCTAATTTTGATGCAGTAGGAAACACTTAAGTTCAGGAAGGAGGGTAGTTTTAACATAATTCCCGGAAACAATGGTATAAATACGTCTTGCGAGACAGTAAGGTATATTACTTTTGGTATGATACGGGTGAAATGATCCAAAATTCAAATATTGGTGCGTATTCATATCTTTATAAAATATATCAGTTTGTACAAATCTCCCAGATATTAAATTGATTCTTACATCGAGAAAGGTTGAACTGGATTCGCTTTTTCCACAGTGACATTGAGTGATGCATTAAGGAATTTAGAATTTTATGAATGGATGTAAGTTGACTTTCACTGGTTTTTAATATTATAATCCAGTCGTCTAAAAACCATTTCCATGAATGTTCTATTTGTTCTCTCATAGATTCACCAAGAGTATCTCTTACCTTATCATAAAACATATTGTCTAAAAATCCCAACACAAGGGTTGCATAAGTAGGGGCTACCTTTGTACCCATGGCTTCTCCTTTCTTTTGTGAATAGTAAGATCCATCAAAATAAAACATGTTTTTGGTAATAACCAACTTCAATGCATCAAAGCATAAAATCATCCGAAAATCTATCTGGTATTTCATGGCAGTATTCTTTCAGCCAGTATCTGATAGCTTCCAGTCTGAGCTCAGCTTCAATATTGCTGTACAAACTAACAACATCAAAACAAACTGACATAGATCCTTCCGGTACCCCAGTAGGTAATTTACATAAAAAATCAATGTCATCTCTGAGAACACTTTTTACATGTTTACATAAGGGCTAAAGAATTATATCCATGCAAATGCTAAGACGCTGAGTACAGCTCTCGGGTCCTCCCACAATAGGTTTAAATGATAAATCCTCAGGATTTTCAAAATTAATATATTCACAATTTTGATCATTCATTTCCTTTTGAATACATTTACTATTATGTACTTTGAGTAGGCCATAAAAAGTAGCGGTCTAAGGTTCAAAATTGATAAGATAGTCCTTTTTCTTGTCTCGAATTTCGTCATCATAACAATGTCTTAACCTCATTCTGGACAGGTTTTTCTTCTCTTTTACCACAAATGCTATAATGTTGATCATCATTTAATATGGAAATTATCTTTCTTTGTTGAAATAACGATGTCTGTAATTTGTTTAAGATGAGTAAGGCCTTTCAATTCACATTCAGACAGGTATTGTTTTGTATGTTTAATATGAATAGAAGCACTTTCATTTCTATCACAATGAATCCTAAATCCCAAATCATATATATATATATATATATATATATATATACCGAACCTGAGTCACATATATTACAATATTATAATTTGCTGATTTCTTTGACTTGATATCCCAAATAAACAAAAGGATGACATATTGGCCATGGTAAAATAAAGGAAACCGAATACTGATATCTCATATCCCAGCCAACTTTTAACTACTCAATGAGATGTGAGACGTGTTCATAATTCTAAAGGCCAAACTTAATGTATTCAGCGGACATCCTAAAGTGTTGTGTGTTCATTTTTCTTCATAAGTTCTGTGTTAAGCAGTAGGAAGAGTGTGAAGAAGACTGAAATGCTAATATAACTCTTTATTCAAAATCGAT